CATGTTGTTGAGGCACCTGGAGTCAGAAGTAGGTATCAGGAGATGTGTGCTGAACTGGTTCAAATCAGGCGTCGTGGATTGGATTCAAAGGATTGTTTTGGAAACCAGTTATCATTAGTGTGGGACCTAACCTATGGAGTTCCACAGGGTGCAGTTCTGTTCCCCATGCTTTTCAATCTCTGTGTAAAGCCTTAGACAAATCATTTGTAGCTTTGAGGATGGTTGCCACCAATATGCAGATGATACTCAGCTCTATACATCCTTATCCAAATCCCCTGGTGAAGTGGTAGAGGTCCTGAATAACTGCTTGGCTGCTGTGGTAAATTAGCTCTAAGTGAACAAATTGAAGCTAAAGCCTGTAAAGACAAAGGCAATGCAGGCTGGGAAGGTGGAGTGAGAGGGTGAAAATCTTGAAGGACATTGTCCTCCCCACTTTTGATGGAGTTTAGCTGACCCTTGCTGACTCAGTAAAGAACTTTGGGGTTATACTGGACCGAGCATTATTACTGGAGAAGCGAATTAATGCAGCTACAAAAAGGCTTTCTCCCAACTCAGCCTGGCCCTTAAGATTGCACTTTATCTTGGTAGGCTGATCTGGCCACTTGAATCCACACCACAGTAGCATTGAGACCAGACCACTGTAATGCGTTGTACATTGTTCTTCCCTCAAAATCAGTTTAGAGACTCTAGTTGGTGCACTGCAGAGTGCTGCGGCTTGGCTATTATGAGGAGCTCGAGGGAGCACACATGTCTTTTACATTCTGCAGTCACTCCACTGGCTGCCCATCAACTATTGGGCTCAATTTAAGGTATTGGCAATAGCATGCAAAGCCCTTCATGGCCTTGGACCCTCATGTCTGCAAGAGCACCTTGCTCCCTTATGCTCCGCCATGACAGCTTTGCTCCTCTGAGCAAAGTCCTCTGCAAGTGCCAATCTGCAGATGGCCAAAATCAACAACTGCCTGTACACATGCATTCACCACTGTGGCCCCCACCTTGTGGAATAGTCTGCCCGAGGAGGTCAGGAAGACTCCCACTATCCTGGCTTTCTGCAAACTAGCAAAACTGGATTATCCAAGAGGGCTTTTCTATTCAGGCGATAGAGTAGCACCGTACAAAATGATGCACAACATTATTTGGACAAATTATTATGCGCTGTGGTCTGCATATTACTGTGTATAGTATGCTGTTAGTTGGATCCTACTATGTACTTTTGGATCATTTACTGTTTCATGTTTGCTTCAGTTCTGTTTTTAAATTTCTGGTTGGTTTTATAACCCAAATCCTATTTCACTGTTTATTGAATGCCCCAGCCTGTCAATTGTATTGTCTCATTCTGTGTAATCTGCCTTGAGTCTCGGGGAGAAAGGTGGACTATAAATAATGTAAAATAATAAATAAGCTTTTGAGAGTCAAAGCTTCCTTCATCAGATACAGGTAGAGTGAAGTCCCTGAGCCCATATATCCCAGTTTGAAGGTGGCAGGGGTATTATGAAGAAGGGAGTCAGGATGCAAAGGTACAATGCAAAATGTAATCAGCAAACAGTGCTAATTCAGCTGATTATGTTTTGCTCTTTACCTTTGGCACCCTTCTTTGGAACACCCCTCCCAACTTCTGACTGGGATACAAGGGCTCAGGGATCTGTCTGACAAAGAGAGCTCTGACTGTCTCTCATAAGCTTATATCGTGGAAATCGTTTTGGTCTTTAAGGTGCTACTGGAGTAGAATCTTGCTCTTCTACAGACCAGCATGGCTCCCCACCTGAAACTATCACTTATGAAGTAATGTATTTCAGTGTAACAGGCTAGGAATTTAAAAATCCTAACCTGATAATAAATTATCTGTTACTTTCCTTGTATTTCTCATTCTGTTAAACTGCTTTAACATTTCAGTTTTTGATATAGTTCTGGGTCTCCCGTTCTTTTTTCCCTGTTCTTCTGACATTCAGTTTGGAATGTTTAGTGGTCATGTTTAAGAAATTGTCAGGTCTGATTCCTGAGAGTGTTTTTAAAGAGGACAGCTTTTCATATTAGTGTTGTTATTACCAGGAGGGCTTCAAATCACTACAGGATACATTCAACACTCCATTTGGGAATCGCACTCCCGATGCAACTGCTGAAATATTTTTATCAATTGCCAGTCCCAAAACTAAGGAGAGCTTTTACTTTGGCAAGAATGAACATTCTTCCCTCTGTGGTTTTGGAGAGCAGATATAATAGAGTATCATGCTCTAATAGAACATGCAGATGCTCATTTGATAAAATCGAAACCACTGAACATATGATTATGGAGTGCCCTCTATTCAACGAGCTGAGGGCTAATTTAGTCACCCCTTTACTTAAAGATACAGAGTTGCTAAATGTGTGAGCCCAGGTGTCATGGCTACTGTCGGATACAAATGATCGTGTCACCCTCTCAGTGGCAAAATTCATAGGCGCAATAATCAACTATAAGAGGAATAATACCGAGTGGGGTCTTTTAAAATATTTTTTGGTTCTAATTTCTGCTTAAGATCATAGCCATATAAGCAGTACTAGATGGTTAGATAGAAATCACTGCAGTTATTGAAAAGTTAATGTGGAACGGATTTGTACCTTTTCTGTTGAGAAAGCTGGAAGTCTCTTGGCATTCTCGTGCATGATTTGTAAATAGAACTAGATCTATGCTGTCTATGTATTTTAGTTTTCACTCCTACAAGCAGAAATTATAATGTGGAATAGGTTAGTGTTAGAGTTGGACCTGTGCTCAAATCAGTATGGTGCTGTGGAAGTTTGGTGTGTGACCTTGGGCTGGTCACTCTCAGCCTAACCTGTCTCTCAGGGTTTTGGTGAGCATGAGAGAATTTATTTATTTATTCATTTATTCATTAGATTTGTACCCCGCCCTCCCCAACGGGCTCAGGGCGGCTACAACAGAGGCAATTGCCAAAATAACAGTTAAAACAACATAAAAACAATCATTAAACAGTATAAAACAATCATTAAGTAAAGTGCGGTGCTCTTGATGTTAAATTTTTCTTAATCCAAGATGAGTTCCATTCATCAACCTAACCTGACAACATACATTCTTCGGTTAACTAGGCGTCTGCCCAGGGCCGGCTCACCTCCAGATCTAATCAGAAGAGGAAAGCAATGTTCTAAGTCGTTTTGGGTCCCTACTTTGGGGCAGGGGAGTGGGCTATGAGTAATTTTGAGGAGTCCTTCAGTTCAGAATGCCACAGCCTGAGAGTTTTCCTTATCTTAGAAATCCTTCGTATTTGCTTTGCCATGAAGTTGGTGTACTAAATTGTGAAATAGATTGCTATTGAAGGACAATACAGAATGGCTCTAAATCCTGATGTATTTTACTTTAATGCTGAGTGAATTCAGAAATTCCATCAGAGGCTTTTTCCGCCTCCTTCAAACTTATAACAGCCAAGGGTCCCATGTGATTTATTCTGTATTCACTGATTTGATATCCTGTAAATGATAGCTTCAGATGTTTTATGTTTTATGAGTCAAAATTGAGGGTTTTTTTTTAAAAAAAGACACAACAGTTACTGTTTGTTCATAGTCTGCTAGTTAGAACACTTGTATTCTTGTTGCTACTTTGTGTTTCCCATAAACCTACTGGCTCAATTCAGACCTTAAGTTTGAATTCCAAATTCAGTGGATCAACATCTACCGTGTTTCCCCGAAAATAAGACACTGTCTTATATTTATTTTTTCTCAAGAAGACACACTAGGGCTTATACCACAAATGCATAGAAATCCTGCTAGGGCTTATTTTTTGGGTAGGTCTTATTTTTCGGGAAACAGGGTATGTCATGCCACATCAACAAAGATTGGTTCAGAGAATAGGAGACAAGCTTCAGGCTGGATGTATAATTAGAAACTTGGACTTGGGTCTATGTCATATGTTATTGGCTTAAGATAAAATTTTCTCCCCCGAGGTTAATTTCTTTAATCCTCCTAGATAGTTTCAGTTCAAGCTGGGTTTCCACAATAGAACATAAATTGTCACTATTGGGCTTCTTCAGTACAGCCTTCCTGCACCTTGGATTCCAAGGAGCCAGAGTGATTATTAAACAGAGATTATGGGATACCTCTCTCCAAATGGATAGTGCTTGAGCTTCACACATTCTGGTAGTGGGGAATAAAAACCAAAATTTTGCTCCGTCCTTTCTTTGTGAGAACTCCTGAGATAGCGCAGAGCTTTTACTTTAGCATGATTTAATTCCCCCCCCCCCCCGCTCTCCTTGATGGGAGATTAAACCTGGGCTGGTCGAGACAATTGAGCATGTGCTTTTATTCTGTCACTTCTATCGCGAGATTTGGACAAAATGCATTACTCCAATTACTGCTGCCTATCCAGGCAGGTCAAACCAATTTTATTCAACTCTCCTTTTAGCTGATTCCTGTAATGAAATTAGTGCTAAGGTAGCAAGATTTTGTGCTGTGGCCAGTTTAATCAGACAGAAGATTATTGCCTCTTAAGAAATTTTAAATATATTTTAATTTTAATCAATTTTATTGATATAAGTTCTTACCTGTATTTATTGCTTAGTCCTGTTTACATAATTATTGCACATGTCACATGCTAATGTACTGTCTAATCTTGGATTGTAATAACTAAAACTATATGGTACTGAAGAGGAGACATGTTTTAACCTGGTTTATAAGCCTTTGGCGTTCAAATTATTTTTACATTGATGTAATTTTTTATTTAGAAGCCTTCAGAAATTAGACATCTTAAAATAATAAGTGAGGCTGCCATAAGGTTTTAGTAAACCTGGATTCACTTGGTTTTTTATTTACTACATAAAATGTCAAACTTCAGTCTGCTGCACATGTAGGTTGAAGTGGCACAGAAAGAGGAAAATATAATGCTAGCTGTTTGTGTGTGTGTTCATGCACACATGTAAAAAGGAGAAATACAAAAGTTCATAAATTTAGGAGGAAGGAATCTCATAAGCCTTGATAAACTGCCTCACTATTTTTGTGTATGTGTTATATTACAGGTTGAAGAATTTGGGTGAGAAATCAAGAGAAGCCAAAATAAGCAAGCAACGGTACTGTTAGAAATTTAAAATGTGTGACAGTTGTTTCTTAGGTGGAATTACATTTATTTATTGAGAATATCTACATGTCATTTGCATGACATCATCTAATTTTTAATGAACTCTGAAGTTAATATTGTTGAAAGTTCTATGTCTGTTTAATATTTCCAGCTTCATTTGTTTTACAGTTGTAGCAAAGCATAAGGTTAAGCATTGCAAGGGGTCCAATAAACCTTCATATCAGATGTGGGAGTTGCCTAAACCCTGAGCTGGGGTAGGTGGTAGGAGTGGCTAGATCTGCTATAACAGCAATCCTGAGAAGCCCCATGCAGGTAGGTTTATTGCAATTCAATGAGGCTTAGATAGAGGGTGCTAGGCCTGTCGCTGTGCAACACATCCATTGGGCATCCACATTTACTGGCACCATTTTGTGATTTTTATTTTAGGAATGTTCAGTGTTTGCCAGAGTTCTCTGCTGGATTAGATCTGCTGAGCAGGTAAGTTCCTTTTTTTTTGTAAATGTGTACTACTGAGTTTCATATGTAGTTATAAGTCTGCTTATTTATTTTCCTGGAGGCTTGGAGGGGGAAATGGAAGACGGGTCTTCTTACTGTTCTCATGACAAATGTCATAAACATCGAGCCATCACATACTAAAGGGGAAGCCTAAAGTTTGCTGAGTTACAAAGTGATTTTACTACACCTGCCAAAGATGTAGCCACACACAAAGTCACTTGTTTATTTTCAGCTCTTAGTAACCAGGAAGATTTGGCTTCTAGAGAGATGAAATCCTGCTTAAACAAAGGAAAAATCAATGTAGCTTTCAAACCTGAAAGTTTAGTAAAAGCCGAAAGAATATGATCTGTAGAGTCAATTCTGTTAGTACCACATCTGCAGAATCTATTAGAGAACAGAATACTATTAAACCTTTCTAATAACACAGCTGATGGCAAGGTGCTCAAACGCCCAAGCATAAATGCGCTTCTGTACTTTGGAAGAGATAATTCCAAGAGGTAGTTTGGCATTTGGATACCAAGGGAAGAGGATGAACATGCTCTGCGAGCTTTAACCAGCATTCTCTTATAATCAAGATCGCTCAGACGTTTTTTAATAAACTGACTCAATTCACAGCTACTCACAGTTCCTAGCACATCATGAGTGATACCCAAACATCATATGGGAAGAGAGATTGCTTTTCTGTACATCCTTTCAAGTAGCTCTCAGATTATTCATGGTGCATGTTTCTAAAAACATGAGTCTAGCTTTTAATGTAAATCCTGGCAGTTGTAAAGTGTATTACTTTACCACAGGCATGGTCTAGCAAGTTAGCACTTTTAACAGCCCTGTATCAGGGGTGGCCAAACTGTGGCTCAGGAGCCACATGCGGCTCTTTCACACATATTGTGCAGCTCCCGGCAGGGCAGATGGGGAAGCTAAATATCATTAGCAAACAAATATCATTGGACCAATAAATATCATTATCAATATCTGCTTTTACCGCTTTCGTTATTATTTTTGGCAGTCTCATTTAATGTTATATTTCCCAGTAAAAACGTATAATATGTGTTCATGCATTGCGGCTCTCAAACATCTGACGTTTATTCTATGTGGCTCTTACATTAAGCATGTTTGGCCACCCCTGCCCTATATGATGCTTATTTTGGTGAGTGCCAGTAGATTCAGTAGAACTCAAGTGTGTAGGATTGCAGAATAAGATTGGTTGGTGCTTATGGGCACATTTCAAATAGACTCAATATCTGCAGTGCAGCTTGGATAATTTAAGCATATTGAACTTACATGACCTACTCAGACCATGCATGATGTATGTTAGCTGAGTATTGTCTGTTTTGTCTGGCAGCAGCTTCAGGTTGTCAGGCAAAGAGATTTCCCCCAGCATCTCTTCCTTTAACTGTAAATGCCTGGGTATAAGGCACATGTGATCAATGTTCCCTCTAAGCTGTGGATTCTTGTGAGCAAAAATTCTACTTTGTGAGCTGCTGGCATTAAAGTTGTGAGTGAGTGATTTGACTACTGCATAAATTAGTTTGCTCTGGAGCCATCCCTCCTGAGCTAAGGCAAAGATGTGTGAGCTGGAGGCTAAAAAAAACTGTGAGCTAGCTCACACTAACTCAGCTTAGAGGGAACACTGCATGTGATGTAGGTGTTCTAACACTTAACTGCAGCTCCTTCCTGAGATTCAGGCTGGTAAATCAGGTTCAGATTGAGAAGTGTATTTTGTTTTTAAGGAAAGCATATTGTATAAGGCTTTTCTGTTTTGTTTATTTGTAAACATTTGGTTTGCTGTTTGAAATTGTTGCATGTAATTGTCAGTTTGTGAACTGTCTAAATCTGCAAATTTATCATTGTCCTTGACAACTGACTCTGCTTCCAGTTAGAACCCGTAACTTTTGACTCAGGTGTTAATCTCATGGTTTCTGATAAATGCATAGGAAATATGCTTGATAAGTCCTGAAGACTTTCTCCCTTGCACTGAATTTCAAATAGTGATCTTAATCTTTCTGGAAGTGCATCAGTTTTATACCAGTCTGTCATCATTGTATCATGAGACTGTTTTATGACATTACGAATTTAGCTGGTATCAAAAGGTTGTCTTCTTTTGGTAAACTTTCACAATTGAAGAAAAGATGCTAATTAAACCTGTTTCTCCAAACATCTTTTTTGTCCTATTGATAAATACTAAGTCACACTCCCATACAATACATCTAACAATACTGGATTCTTCGCCATTATCTAAGTTCAATTTATAATTTTATTACTGTTTTCTTTTGCAAAGGTATGAAGATATTTGGGCAGCCCTTCACAGAGGAACGAAAGAATGTGCAAAAATGGGAGAGGTAAATCACAGAAATAATATGCAGATGTTTTGCTAAAAGCTGCTTAGTATTTAGATACTTTGATCTGAGGAAGCTACGTTGCACATCTTCCATCTAAAATGCATATTCACTAGGGAAGCATCTCTTTGAAATAAACTTAATGACCTTTGCTTAGTTCTGCCTTTTTTGTGTATCTCTAGCACAGTTGTGAATCCAGAATTAAGGCTCAATTGAGCATGTTGTATCATGAGATGTTTTTTGGATTGTTTCTAAAGATGTTGAATCACATGGATTACAAGAAGCTGTGAAACCAGAAGACCATTTAGCGGGCAGGTCTGTTTTACTGTGGTGCCTGTAAAGTGGATCTCAAGCACAGATCCATTAACAGGAGTAACGTGAGGAACATTTGCTATGGGTTAAACATGCATTTCCATTGAGCCAAGAGAAGAGAGGACAAATGTCCCCAGTTCTTTGTCGTTTTAAGGAAAAGCCTGGCAGAGAAGCATAATGTATGTGGTCCACTGTGTTTCTGTAAGTGCAGGTTCCTAATTGTCGTGGGATAATTCCTCTTTAAACACCAGCAAGTGGATAACTGCTGGCTTGCAAAACTTAGAGTCATAGAATCACAGAATCACAGAGTTGGATGGGGCCATACAGTCCAACCCCCTGCTCAATGCAGGATCAGCCTAGAGCATCCCTGACAAGTGTTTGTCCAGCTACTGCTTAAAGGCTGCCAGTGAGGGGGAGCTCACTACCTCCCTAGGCAGCTGATTCCACTGTTGAACAACTCTTACTGTAAAAACCTTTTTCCTAATGTCCAGCCAGTACCGTGAAAAGCTGCAATCCCATGTACACTTACAGAGGAGCACAGTGGTATTTATTTCTGAGAACCATGCACAGGGTTTTGCTTTTAGTATTGTACTGAACTGACTGGCCACGTTCACTGAAATACGTGTGGCACATTAACGGAAGTGCTACCTTAATAGAATAGGAGTTGTACTGGTCCTTGTAAGCCAGTATTCCCTGGAAATACATGCCTGCATTATACAGCTGTACATCTGAGCTTTATTTGGACATACAGAAATAATTAGGGTTGATTAATATTTGACCACCCGTTGTTGGACTGTTTTCAGGTATTCTGTGAGGCTCAGAATGCTGCTATGTATACAGCAACTTTCCATCGTGTGTCAATATTACGCGGTGTTAGCCCACAGCAGACCAAACATGGGTGCAATGGTATCCAATAAAGACTGGAGTCTCTCAGGCTTATGTACAAATATCACTGTCATTTGTTAGTAAGGGCAAGAGTGTGGGCGGTGTCTTCCTAGCCCTACAACAACTCGGGGGGGGGGGGGGAGAGACCTAGCAACATAGCAAAGTCTGTCCTACTGGCTACTTGCCAGCATCTTCGGAAAGGAAGGACTGGCCTACTGCCTCTTAAGTACAATGCTTTTAAAAATGGACTTCTGTTTTTAATAGTTACTGTTACTTCCTTTTTTTTGTAAAACACATGGTTATAAATTATATAACTCTGGTTTTATGCTTGGCTTTAAATCCACAGTTGGTGGATAGTGAAGTTGTGATGCTTTCTGCACACTGGGAGAAGAAAAGAAGTGGTCTCCTAGACCTTCAGGAGCAGCTCCAGCAAATACCTGTGTTTTTAGCAGATTTGGAATCTACAACAGCTAGCCTGGGTAATCTTGTTTGCATGTTTAAAACAGTTTTAGCAGGCATTTCAATAATCTGGAGTTGAGACTGCATAGAATGGATTATAGGAAAGCTGTTCCCGAGGCTTTTGAAATGTCTTGCTATAATAAGCTCAAGTTTGAAGGCTGACAGTGTCTTGGCTTTCATGACAGTTCTAGGTTGTCTGTTTCACAATGTTACTATTTTTATCAGAAATCTGCTTATTTTCTGTGTCACTAAATTTACATCTTATTTTTCCTCCAAGGAGGTGTCGGCCTCTTTGTGTTCCTCCATGACCTCCTTCTCTTGCTAGACAGAGGCTGAGATAGATTGCCTGGCCTGAGGGTATCATACTGACCTTCATAACTAGGCTTGCAAGCCCTGTATCTCACTGGCAAGCTCTGTTGCCCACCACTACTCTGTGGCATCAAGAGAAAAACCAAAGCCAGTGACATCACAGATGTCAGACATCACTATGCCTCTTCTGGGTATAACCCGGAAATGATAAAGGGTAGCTCTAGGAATTGTTGGAAACTCTACCATAGTGGTAGGGTTTTTTTGCAATTCCTAGAGTTACTCTTTTCACTTCTGGGTTGTATGTCACTGATGTCATGCCCCCCATGTTGCTGCCCCCAGACCTCTTGCCAGCTGCCAAGGTCAGCCTGGCAACTCTATTCATAACTGAGTAGAGATTTGTTCCCACATCTTGATCCAAGTTCAAGTGCTGGTCCCTGCACCACACTGGACAACTTATATCTCAGTATTTTTGAGGCTGGATTCTTATGTATATGTGTGGGGAGTAAATTCCATTAAATAGAAACTACTGAGTAAATGTGTAAGATTAAGGTGTGAATCTTAATAGTACCCAGGTCCAACTGGTTTTCTGTCCTGGTGCGTTTTTATTTTGAATTTTGATATATATGACACGGAACTCTGATAACCTGCAATATTTTATCAGCCTTACGTTGAACTTGGTTACAATAAATTTCCTATTTGTGTGTACTGTCGTAAATTTCCTATTTGTGTGTACTGTCGTAAATGAAAATTTTATAGATATGATACGTATAGACTAGTGATAGAATGTAAGAAATGCTGAACAGTTAAATAATCTATCAAGTTTAGTCATACCTCACTAAGAATTATACTGCAGACGTAAATATTGAGTAATGGCCTTAAAAATACTTTTCTTAACTAATCATAAATCATGATACAAACCATACATTGGAACTATTTTACAAATAAAAGCATCATTACTCCTCGTGAGTTATTTAAAAAAGTATCTATTTGTAGCATAAAGAGCTTATACTCTGGGCAATTTTTTCAAATAAGACTGAACCCCCCGCCAACGCACCCTCCCCACTCCCCCCAGCTAAACAAAACTACTAAACCACCCTATGAGGCTAACTCACCAGAACCCTGGGAAAATACTACCCAGGGAAAGGCATGAAAAGACTCTTTTTCCAGGGTTCCCTAACTTATGGAGACAAAGATCCCCCCCCCCCAACTTCCATGTACCACTGCTAAAACACAGACTTTTAAGCAGAATAAGCAACACAAAGTAAGCAAAATAAGCAGAGTATGGGACTGCACACTGAATCTATATAAATTATAAGATGGATACTATCGATGTTGGACAGGGATTTTCTCCCTTTTGTGGGAGATAGGGGAACATTTATTTTTCTTTTTTGTGACTTTTTAACTCTTGTGGAGTTGAGATGTTCAAAGTTTATAAAAGTTGATGGCCACTATGGAGATCTGCAACTTGATATGGGACTTCCTGAAGTCTGGTCAGAGCGATCCAATTATAGTGAATTTTAGCTTCAATTAACATATTGAGAATTGATTTCAATTTGCCCACATTTGCAGAGTCTCCGGCGAAAGGTCCTGGAAGATACGTATTTTCTGGTCTTGAAATAGCAAATGTCCTTTTCCCCTAGCTTCTTTTAATTTTTTTTCTTTATAGATTTTTCCCCATTAGTACACCGATCGAGAAGAGTAATTATGATGTCTCTAGGACCCTTTAATCTAGGGTTGTTAGCTGACCCACGTTTATATGCATTTGTTATTCTGGGAACAATATCCTCTTTGAGTTTTAAAGCAGATGCTAGCCACATTGCTAAAAACACAATTAATCGGTAGAGCCTTTAGCTTTTTCTCCCATCCCTCTGATTATTAAATTATTTTGTCTCTGTTGGTTCTCCAAAATCATAATTTTTTCTTGCAGCCAGATCTCATTCTATTGGAGCTGTCACACTTCATCCTGTATTGTGAGACCTAGGTTCATAACAGTATCTGCTGTTTGTCTAACGATTTAAAGAAAATTTTATGTCTTCTAGCTGGTCAGCAAGAGATTTAAGCAAGATTGTGACCAATTCCACAAAAGCAGTTGTTGCGCCCTCGGTCTCCCATTTTCCCCGGTTGTACTGCTCAATTTCCCAATATTTGCTGCGTGGCTGCATTTTGACCTGCATCTCCCCCCCCCCCCCGCCTCCCCCGATTTCCCCCGTGTCTTCTTGATCCTTGATCAGGGAGGATAAGCTCAAAGTACATAATTTCTGACTGTGAATTTCAGGCTAGTTTATGCAGTGTTTCTATATTGTATTTTACTCTGTGTGATAATCCTTTCACCAAAACTGCACTCTAGCCGGTTTCTAGTATAATATTACCTTTGATATGAATTGCTGACAGTTTTTAAATAATGTTTTGGAAAAAACCTCATCTAATGCCGTGATTCTAATATCTGGGACATTCTTTCTAATGCAAGGAGAAGCTTGCTTCAAAAATTACATGATTTATTACTGTGAAAAAGCATCCCCAATCATGTAAACTGTGTTTTGGTGAGTTCCCACTAGGGGATGCTCCATAACTATTCCTTCACAAATCTTTCTCTGGCTAAGACTAGATTTCAGTTTTATTACTGGGCTCTGTTACTCCTGTATCTATTGAGAACTGCAGGACCTTTCTTCAAACAGGAGAGCTTCATGTAGTGTCACCTTCTAGATCTTTTGTATATATTTAAATTTTGCAAAAGATTAAGTGGAAATATTTAGAAAGCAAACCTATTGATCCTTAATATAAATATTAGGTGCTAAGGGTATAAGCAGTTACGCAAATGTGGAGTAAGGTTAATAAAACTGTGAGTACTTGGGCAAAGGCTTTGTTCCACTTCCCTTGTAAATGGCTGTGTGTAGTTACATGGTGTTCTCTGGGTGCATGTTGTAGATGGGCACTCCAGATACTTAAAAGCATTTTAAAACTGTATGCTTTTAAGTAAGTAGCCTGTTAAAAAGGAAAGTGTATTTCATTTTAGATTCCCTCCCCCAAAATCCATTACCCTAAAAACAGTGAACAGTGGCTTTAAATATTTAGAATGGGTAACTAGTCTGGAAGTAAGACTTTGCTTCTGTGTATGTGAATAATATTTAACAGTGGACACAGTATCATATCTTCCGGCACTTATGTACTAGGCTCTTTGTTGTTGTTGTTCAGTCGCACAGATGAGTCTTCACGACCCCATGGATCACATCACACCAGGCCCTCCTGTCTTCCATTGTCCTCCAGAGTTTGCTTAATTTTATGTTTGTTGCGTTGATAACACTGTCTAACCATCTCATCCTTTGTTGTCCCCTTCTTCTTTTACCTTTAATTTTTCCCAGCATCAGGGTCTTCTCCAGTGAGTGCTCTTTCTCACTTGGTGGCCAAAGTATTTGAGCTTCAGCTTCAGTATTTGGCCTTCCAGGGAACAGTCAGGGTTGGTTTCTTTTAGGATTGACTGATTTGATCTCCTTGCAGTCAAGGGACTCTCAAGAGTCTTCTCCAGCACCATAATTTGAAAGCATCTATTCTTCAGCGCTCAGCCATCTTTATGGTCCAACTCTCGCAGCCACACATTACTACTGGGAATACCACTGCTTTGACCATACGGACTTTAGTTGGCAGGGTGATGTCTCTACTTTTTATTATGCTGTCTAGTTTTGCCATAGCTTTCCTCCCAAGGAGCAGGCATCTTTTAATTTCATGGCTGCAGTCACTGTCTGCAGTGATCTTAGATCCCAGGAATGTGAATTCTGTCACTGCTTCCATGACTTCCCCTTCTATTTGCCAAGGAGTGATGGAGCCAGATGCCATGATCATAGTTTTTTTTTGATGTTGAGTTTCAAGCCCACTTTTGCGCTCTCCTCTTTTACCCTGAGCAAGAGGCTCTTTAGGTCCTCTTCACTTTTTGCCATTAGAATGGTACCATCTGCATATCTGAGGTTGTTGATGTTTTTCCTGGCAATCTTAATTCCAGTTTGTGATTCATCCAGGCTGGCATTTTGCATGATGTACTCTGCATATAAGTTAAATAAGCAGGGTGACGATATACATCCTTGTCATACTCCTTTTCCTATGCTAAAGTAATCAGTTGTTCCATATCCGGTTCTAACTGTTGCTTCTTGACCCTTATACACGTTTCTCAGAAGACCTATGAGATGGTCTGGTACTCCCATCTCTTTAAGGACTTGCCATAGTTTGTTGTGATCCACACAATCAAAGGCTTTAGTGTAGTCAATGAAGCAGATGTTTTTCTGGTACTCCCTTGCTTTCGCCATAATCCAGCGAATGTTGGCAATTTGATCTCTCATTCCTCTACCTCTTCAAAACCCAGCTTGCACTTCTGGCAGTTCTCTATCCACATACTACTGAAGCCTTGTAAGATCTTGAGGATCTTGAGCATGACCTTGTTAGCATGTGAAATGAGTGCAAATGTGCAATAGTTTGAACATTTCTTGGCATTGCCCTTCTTTGGGATTGGAATATAAACTGACCTTTTGGAGTCCTGTGGCCACTGTTGCGTTTTCCAAATTTGCTGGCATATTGAGTGCAGCACTTTAACAGCATCATCTTTTAAGACTTTGAATAGCTCAGCTGGGATACCATCACCTCCGCTAGCTTTGTTGTTAGTAATGCTTTCTAAGGTCCATTTGACTTCGTACTCCAGGTTGTCTGGCTCAAGGTCAGTGATCAC